CATCAATCTCCACCAGTCCTTTTCCCCAGACCTCAGTAAGTTTAGGGCACATCTGACCTTCTGATCAGCAGGAAATGAGTACGTAAAGAAACAACCATCCACATCAGACAACCACCTCATGGCTATGATCGGATCCTTAGTCCCATAGAAGATCCCTAGCCTAGTAATAGCATGTTGTTCTAACATATCACATAACCAAATAACTACATGGTATTTTGGGGTCTACTTATTGGCTTCGGCTGATCATACATTCTGCATCCTCCTTTACTTTTTTTTCAAAACCATTTAAAATCATTTTGAAAATCTTTTCCTTGATTTGATATTGGATTCACACGAGTGGTCCTCCAATTCAATCAAACCAAGGGTCTGACACTAACTTGTAACATCCATAAAAATCATGCCAAATTTAAACTTTTTAAACACTTCAAAACCATTGAATATTACAAAACTTGTTTTCAAAATAGTATAATATCAGAGTATCCCAGAAACAAAGTCATAAATGTGAGGAGTTGTACGAGCATGCCTTTGCCTTCCCGCGATCATCCGAGGTACCTGAAACCAAAACTAAAACTGCAAGCCCGAAGCTTAGTGTGTTCCCCTAAAATACCCATACATACAACAATACACATATAATCACAAACAACATACTATGGTTGCAGTCAACCATCAAGTTTGAATACCCCAGACCCTCAACCATCTGGTTGGAATGCCAACATACTATGGGTCCAATCATCCTCGGGGTGGAATACCCCATGCCCATAAGAAATAGGCTATAATACCCACATACTACGAGTCCAATCATCCTCGGAATGGAATACTCATGGCACACAACCATCGGGTTGGAATGTGTAGGTCTAGTAGCTTTCGCACAAAGCAGATAAGCCTCAACCACTAATCAAACATGTGCACATATAATAGATAATCACATAATAGTCTGTAGGAAAATAAATCGATGTAACGAATCATAAATTAATAACATCCTATCTACTAGGATACTGATCTAACAGATCATAATTGCATAATAACATCCTATCTACTAGGATATTGATCTAGCAAATCATACTAGCATAACATATCAGGACAACAATACAAAAGGGTCGGCCTTGATGCCTTCGACCGTTGAGTATAATGAGAAAAACTCACCTCGCAAATGCCGAACTGAAGTGATAAGCTCAATCTCTCAAATCACAGCCATAAACTCCACCACCTATATTTACCATAAAAACATTTCCATAAATTTCCAATTTACCAAAATACCCCTAGAAGTCAAACTAGTCAACCCTTGGTCAAATTCATTGTCAACGGTCAAGATCAATAGTCCATGTTGACCCAACTCGTCAAGTGCAGCTCATTGACTCGTCGAGTCCTTCTAGAACTCGAGAAGTCGTGAAACCCCCCAATTAACTCGTTGAGTTTCAAGACAACTCGTCGAACATATGCGTGTTCACAAGTCAAGGAAATCCCAACCGACTCGTCGAGTTGTCTTGATGACTCTCCGAGTTCATGCAAAACCATCAAAGGCTAATCTTCATCATACTTTCTGAGTTGCCCATGCAACTCGTCGAGTTGCTTCAGTCCTTTCTCCATTAAGATGAATTTAAGCCACCCCAAATCTCCATATTGTAGATCTAAGCTCCTAAGGCATACTTCCTACATAAAGTTGTAAACTTTACATACATGCAAGGTGTTAAGGACCAAAATCAAGCTAAAGAAGAAGTTCTAGTTGGGGAAAAGCCATTATCTTGCTAAAGGCTGAAGCTTTATGACTATAAGAACTAAGATGAGCCTAGATTTGAAGTGGCAACTTCAGATCATTCCAAATACCTGAAATGAATCACCAATCATGCTAAAATGGCCCTAATCTCAAGCATGAAGAGATCTAGATAGAAGGAAGTTCAAGGTAATGACTTCTTACCTTCAAGTGATGCTAAAATGGAGTAGAATTCAGATGCACAACTGTTCCTTGCTCCAAGCTTCTTGATCTTGAAGCTCCACTCACCAACTGTTGGATAAGGTGTCTAAGTCAGTAATTATATTTGATATGAACTTGACCTGACCTAGCATGGTCTATTTGGGTTGCACTTCACCTAGCAATTTGCATGGATATATTTTTTAGAATAAGATGTTTATGATATATTAATATATTATAAGATATAATATATTAATATGAAATCATATTATTTAATTAGTGTTGATTAAGAATTAATTCTGGAATTAATTTAGTGATCAAAAGAGGCTAATTAAATATGGACTCATGCATATATATGGAATGGGCTTAGATTTACATAGGATGGGCTAAGAGTATATGAAAGTCCATGGATAGTGCGTGGAGCTTTTAACCCATGGATCCTAGGTAAATGAAGTGTCATGGGTATTAGGGTTTAACCCTAATCCTCCATAATATATAACAAGGTCCTTGGTTCTAGAATTGGAACCAATGTGTGTGAGAAATAAGGGTGGGCGGATTTTAGCAAGCATTATATTCTCTCAAGTATTTCCATGTTGTTTTGGGTGATTTTTGACACCACTTGAGGCATCCACAGTATTGGTGTTGGGATATAAAACTCCAAGCAATCAACCACAAAAGAAAGGTATATTATTTTACTTAAAGATTTATATTACAAGTACCCCATAACATGTTAGTTAGGTTGTAAACCATCGAAAAAAAAATTTGCATGTATTTTAGAGAAAAAATAGATCCAAGGTTTCTAGGGTTGCATTTACACCATAGGAGTGTTAGCATGCTCAAAACCCAACAGTGGTATCAGAGCCTAGGCTTGTTTTCTTGATACTTGATGCAAAGTTGTTGAAAAAACTCAAAAATCCGCTATCTGATGCATGAACTTGCCGAGTCCATGGGGGAACTCGACGAGTCCATGTGATAATTCATCGTACTCGTTGAGTAGGTTCTTGAACTTGACGAGTAAGAGCCCCTGAATGCAGATTTCAAGTTTTGCTGCTAGAAATTGACTAGAAACATTACCCAAAACTGATTTGGTGTTTTGAAACTTGTTTTAGATGGTGTAATGGTTGTGCTAATCCATTTACAATGGATAATATCAAAATTTGTAAGTCCCAAATATAATGATCCAATTCAGTAATCAATGAAGTTGATTATAATGAAGGAGAGATGTAGAAGAAGAAGAACTAAAATCAATCATGCACACATCTATATTTAGTAAATGTCAAGTACATCTTGAGAAAAGTACAACTACTGCAGAGTTTTGACACAAGCAACTGGTACAAACTGACACAACTCAATTTCTATAAATAGTACTCCTCCTACCAGCACAAGAGTGTGCACCCAAACACATATGTGTGGCCGCACACATTGTGTGCGGCCACACACACATGTGTGGTAGCACACATTACACGATAACATACAATCACTGCAAAATTACACTATCATCTAAACAAAATGATGGCTAGCTCAAACCACAAAATTATGTTCTTTCAATCTCCCCCTTGGTTTAAGACTAGCATAGTCTTGTCTTCTCTCCTCTGGCTCCTCAGCAGGCTTCTCAAACAACCTCAGATCTGATGTCCCCGTTGATCCCATCCACAATCTTCCATTTATGATCGTGGCTACCATAGCAGTGAATTCTTTAGCAGCAACTTCCATGACATCCTTTCTGCAAATGATTTGATGATGGGCCAAAGTTCGTATATCCCTTTCTCTGAAGCGGAGAAGATCTTTAGCACTAATTAATCTCAGAATATGTTCTCGATTCTTGAATTTGATGGCTACAGTAGCTGTTTCGTCATCATATGTCCAAAATTCCATGTCATCTAGATATCCCTCATGAAAATGTTGAGGAATAGGAATTTCCTTTTATTTCTTAGTTGCAAGCCAGAGTATAATCTTCATGGGTTCGCCTGTTTCTGGATCAAGAACATCTTTGTCCTTTTTATATAGGGCTTTTGCAGTCTTCATTGATGGAAAGTTCTCTTTGACCTGTCTGTCGAGAAATCTTTTGAAATTTGAAGCATTAGGATCTTCAGAGGGGTTATGGAATGGGGCCCTGGATAATTCAGCTAGATCAGTTTTGGTCCAAGAGTTGAAATCATGGGTGCTTTTGTAACATTCAGATGCTCCTGATTTTCGCTTTACAACCCACAAATTCGTCACTGGATCAAAGGCCTACATTCGGATGCCTGTCCTGTCACCATACTCATCACCAAACTTTCTTTTCTTCAAATCTGTTACTGTCAAGACAGGGTCTCTTGTTTTGCGATTTTCTTTAGAATTTTTCATAAATAAAAGGCCTTCGCTTTGTTTTTGCAGTTACGATTCTTTTGCCCTGCTTGATTGTGATTCTGGCTCTGCTTCCTTCAGGTTCCTTTTCAAATCTGTCGACAATGGTAGTTGTTCTTGGAACAGGTGGGTCAAAAGGTAGATCATCAGTTGCAAGAGGTGATTGAACAGAAGGAGGATCAACTACCCCATGAGGCTGTTGGAAGAGGGCTTTGACTTTTTCACCAAAAGCATTGTACAAAACATTCTTGAGATTGAAATAATTAGCTAGAACAGATCCAAGACTCGTTTGTAGATCATTGATTTGTTTGGTCTTTTCTTCATCTTTTGCCCTGAGCTCAAAAATATGTGCATAAAGCTGATCCATCTGAATTGACTTTTCAATGAGCTGTTGACGAAGAATTCCAATTTCTTCTCGGAGATCAAATGAAGAGGATTTGTCATCATCTGTCCGACCCTCGTTAAATGATATTCCTTTTCCGCGTGAAGAGGTTGGACTAGATTGAGCCAGATGTTTTACTAATCTGATAGAAGCTTCATCTAGAGAAGGTTTTGTTGGAGAATATTCTGGAATAGAAGAGGATCCACCAGTCTCGAACATGGTGCTTGGACCTTCATCAATCTGCTTTGAAGGAGAGTGAGCAGTGGTTGCAGTGATTGTTTAAATAACTTGAGGAGCACATTTTACAGAGGGTACCTCCAGACTTTCAAGAGATTAGCTTGTTCTTATGGAGGTCTGAGAAGTCTAAGGTTCAGATAACATAGAAATGACTAGAGTTGATGTTGAGACAGGTGACACAGACGGAGGAATCTCCGATGTCACATCTCCTTGGCTTATTGTGACCTCCAAGGGCCTGGAGGTAGAGAGCAGAATTTTGAGAACATTTCCTTCATCCCTAGTCTTAGTTGCTAAAGAAGCAACTTCATTGACTTTATTTACACGGCTGTTGGGAATGTCAAGAAAAGGATCAAAATCTTCATCACCAAAATCAAATTCTATGTTTGTTGGGATGTCATCATTAATTCCTGTAAAGTTGATTTCTTTCAAAAATTCCTCATCTTCATAAAGATCATCGTCATCATCCTCTCGAGAAGATTTTGGATCATTTGCTATTTGATTATCATGCTCATTAGCTACATAAGCTGTGGGAGAGTGATGAATCTCCTCCACTTCAAACTCGGAGGGGAAGAGTGAAATATCTTCATTTTCCATCGGCATGGATTGATCTGTTGATTCTTCTCTGACATCCACTTTAAAAATTCCAAATTTTATTAATGGAAATTTTCCTTCAAATACGAATTTTCCAGCCTCTCTTTTTCTTCATTAATCCAAAGGCACTTGGACCAATGGATTTGAAATACAGAGTATCATTTCCTCTCTACAACTCGGGGTGAGTTACGTTAAGGATGATTTGTAAAAATCTTGGATACATAAAAAATTTGTCTCTTTTGCTTCCTTCAATATTTAGTATCATTTCATTCATTATGAATTTTGAGAAATTAAACTCAAAACCTGCCGCCAATGCAACAATGGCACCAGTGTTGGCTAGAGAAATCTCGTTAGCTCCTGATCTCCGGCCAGAAATGCAACTCACGAACACATGAGCCAAAAGCTTCTAGCATGGAGGAAGCAACTTTTTGATTGTAGGAGGAAAAGTTCCTTCGCATCCCATATGCTCTAAAATATTCTCAATTTGATGAACATAAATCTCCATGGGGCACTCAGGTATGTCCTCAATTTGAAGAGATTCTCTGATGATGCTTTCTGTTACTAGAATTTTCTTGTCTTCGATTGTTGTTTCCAGAAATTTTTCACCTCGATCATTCTTCTTTACATCAACATTTCTCCAGAAATCCTTAATCAAACTTTGGTAGATACCAGGATTTGTAGTTAAGCAATGAACCAAGCATGATTTCTTCAAACCATCCACAATGAATTTCAAGTCACTGTGGGCTGCAGGAGGATCTTCAAGAAAAATTGCAAAATTATGAGCTTTAGCGAACTCCATGTCTCCCATTTTAATCTAAATGGCAACACACAAGATTATTAGGGCAAAACTATGAAAATGATATAGCCGCACACGAAGTTACATGCAGCTGCACACTTACGTGTACAACTGTACAAGGTTAGCCACACACATTTATTCATGAAATAGTGTGGCAGCACACGGTCAGCCGCACACGCTTATTCATGAAATAGTGTGGCAGCACACGGTCCGCAGCACACTCACGTGTGCGGCCGCACACACTGAGTGCGGTTACCCAAAAAAAAATTTATGAGAATTTAACCACAAACAATAGAGAAATTTGTGAAAGTAATTAAAAATTCAGCCGTGTTCATGAGAATTACCGAGTAAAAGCTTGTTTTCACAAAAACTTAATGGAAATATTCAAAGAGTTTGAGAGAGTAAATATGTGTGTGTGGTTGAAGCAAGGAATAGTGACGATACGTTTTTCACCGCACACACACACTATATATATACAAAAATTTTCATTTCCTCCCCTTTTTCCTTTAATTATTTATCCCAAAACCCCTTTCACTCACAATTTTCTCAAAAAATGAATTATTTTTGAGGATTAATAGAATATTAATTTCAAAGTTCCAAAAAAATAAAATAAAAATTAAAAAATAATAAAAAATAAAATAAAATAATAATAATAATAAAATGAGATTGAAAATACTATTAATGACAAGAATCAATTTAAACATATATAAATTGTTTTAACCTGTTAAGGTTTCGGGATCAATGTTTTTAGATAACCATTATCCGCTTGTCGGTACCTTTCATATTCACATCTTTGTCTGGTCGATTGTCGGTATTGTTGTGAACTTAAACACGAAAATTTGTGACAAAATTAGGACATACTATAAGTGACAAGACAATGTGATCCTAAGTTCCTAGATAGTATATCTGATCCTAAGTTTCTAGATACTATATCTTAAGGACCATTCAATTGACGACAACCAGAGATATTGTTGTCCACCTAAATTGAGCAACGAGATTTATAGACAATCTTTGAGTGTTCAATTTTAATTGTACTGGAACATGTTTCCCGCTTCCAGATATGCCCCGGTAATCAAGGAATTCCAGAGTACTCCTTACATCGGATGAGAAGACCATCATTAGGGGAGAAGATAGATTCAGAGTATTATCACTTATAGTGCATATGCTGTGTACCAGGTCGGATTGTTAGTCACGCAAAGGATACAGCATATGACTAACAGATAAGAAGAATTTCATATATGTATATATATAATATGCAGAGAAATTGAGTTGCATATGTTACAGTCCAAGTTGGATCTCTTCCAATCATGCAGAGGAGGTAACATATGACTAACAGACAAAAAGAAAGAAAATGATTTTCTACAGACCTAATTTATCGGATTTTAGCAGTTGCCCCATCAATACCAGCATTAAGGATAGAATCCGCACATGGAGGAAAAGTTAAACCACGGTTCCAGATACGAGTTCATTTAATGTGCCGAGTAGATTCCCATATATATCTCCCTGCTCAACCTATCCGAGCGTCATATTGTCAGGCTAAACGGAACTATCTAGGTCAAGATTTGTCAAGTCATTTGATTTCCTAAGTTCAATTCTACCTAGTCATGTTCATTTAGAATCTTTTGTGCCTACCGAAACATCAAACCAGAGCATAGACCTTCAACTTTGTGTACGTTACACAGACTCAGATTGCTTGTTATCACATGATCATATGACTTCCCAGAACATCTCCCTCAAACATAATTTCTAATTTTTAATGTTTTTTTTTTGGATTTTCTATTTTTTTTAATGTTTTTGGATTTTCTATTTTTAATATTTTTGGTTTTTCTATTTTTTAATGTTTTTGGATTTTCTATTTTTCTCCCCCTAAATTTGTGCATAAAAATAAAATGAAACAAAATGCGCAAATTTATGCTTAAAAAATAAAAAAAATTAATCCTCAAAACGAATCATTTTTAGAAAATTAACCAGCACATCAAATCGAGCTTTGTTAAAAGGCTTGGTGAACAGATCTGCTACATTATTATCAGAGCAGACCTGTTCTAGCCGAATGAACAAACGCTCATAACATTCTCGAATAAAATGAATCTTGATGTCGATGTGCTTGGTTTTTGAGTGTTGGACCGGGTTTTTGGAAATTTGAATCGCAGCCTCATTATCACAAAAAATAGGGGTTTCTTGAAAATTCAAACCGTAGTCCAACAACTGATGTTGGATCCAAATGACTTGAGAACAACAAGCAGATGCAACAACATTTTCCGCTTCTGTTGTTGAGGTTGAGAATGTGTGCTGCTTCTTGCACTGCCATGACACCAGTATATCTCCCAGAAATTGGCATCCTCCTGAAGTGGATTTTCTATCAAGTTCACACCCACCATAATTGTTGTCTGCAAAAGCATAAAGATCAAATTTGGGATTTTTCGGATACCAAAGACCCAGTTTTGGGCACCCTTTGAGATACTGAAAAATCCTTTTAACATCAATTAAATGAGAAAGTTTAGGATTAGCCTGGTAGCGAGCACATTGACAGACCGCAAACATGACGTCTGGGCGACTAGCAGTAAGATAAATGAGTGATCCGGTCATTAATTGATAATGAGTTTGATCTATGAATTCACCCTCAAGATCAGGAGTCAGAAGAGGCCGTTCCGCCATGGGTGTAAGAGCAGGTTTTTCTCCAGTACATCTTCCACATATTTTGATTGATGAATAAGGATTCCGGTTGAAGATTGTTTGACCTGAAGCCCCAAAAACATGGTCATTTCCCTAAGTGAACTCATCTCAAAGCGCTTCTTCATCACCGCTTCAAACTCCTTGTAGAGTTGTTGGCTTGTCGACCCGAAAATGATGTCGTCCACATAAATTTGAACGAGAATTTGATCTGGGCCGACATGCTTGAGAAATAGGTTTGATCAATGATGCCTCAGAAATAGCCGTGATTGAGCAAATGCTGAGTAAGAGTAGCATACCAAGCTCGAGGAGCTTGATGCAATCCATACAAAGCTTTGTCTAACTTGTAAACATGGTTTGGAAGAGATGAGTTAACAAAACCAGGTGGTTGGTCAACGTAAATCTCCTCCTTGACCTTGTCGTACAAGAAAGCCGTCTTAACGTCCATTTGGTATACAGTAAAGTTCATGTAGGAAGCATAAGCAAGGAAGATACGAATGGCTTCCAAACGAGCAACTGGAGCATAAACTTATGTATAATCAAGACCCTCAATTTGCCGAAACCCTCTAACCACCAATCTTGCCTTGTTGCGCACAATGACACCTGAGTCATCTTGTTTATTTCGAAATACCCAATGAGTATCAAGAGATTTCTTTCCTTTTGGTAGCTCCACCAATTTCAAGACTCCGACTTTCTCAAATTGATTTAATTCATCATGCGTGGCTTTAACCTAGCTGGGCTTATTCAGAGCCATTTCGATAGATTTAGGTTCTATTTGAGAGATGAAGCAAGAGTAGAGACATGTATTAACATCCCCACTTTTACTTCTCGTTTGAATACCGTCACCCAACTGGCCAATTACGTTCTCTATCGGATGATCTCGCTGAATACGTGTAGGGATCTGATAACTAATATCATTGACAGAAACAAGAAGATTATGAGTATTAACCGCTCCATCATTTGTTGTATGATCTGTAGAGGATGAACAAGGTTTGTTTGAAGAATCTGCTACAAACTCTTCTGCAATACTTTCTGGAAAGAGAAGTTCCATCAGATTTGAAGTTACAGCGAAAGTCTCGTGGTACATGAACTCTCTTTCCATCGAAGCTAAAGGAGTAACAAAAGCATCAGGAGAAGGTTGTTGAGGAGACTTAGAAGATTCAAAATGAGCAGAGGGTACCAATGGAGGATCAGAGGAAATCAATGGTGGTCGATATACAACTTCATCTTCTTCGTCTTCACTAGGAATCTTCGAATTGGAAGTAGATCCTTTTTGATTATCTGAAGACACATTGAATGATTTGAAAAGGGATGTGTAGTCAAATAACCAATCAGGACCCACTCTTGCATCTATCTCATTTTCTTCAAGCCAATGAACATAAAAGGATTCTACAATCTATTTAGTCTTCTTATTGTAAACCCTGTACGCAGTTCGAGCAGCATATCCAACAAAGTAATAGTCATCGGCTTTGGCATTGAATTTGGGATTGGATTCCAAGTGGAGAAGGGTGCAAGGGCAGCCAAATACTCGGAAATGACTGAC